TAACTTAATTTCTATTGGTCAATGTTCAACCAATAGACCTTTGAGACAAGCGGAGTACAGATTTGAGTTCTCCATACTTGAACACCTTCGATTATCACCTCTATGATAGAAAGACAGAGTTCCCCTTGAGGACCGATTAAAGCATGCACTAAAACTGAACTTATTCCCGCTTATTTATCTTACCAATAGGTGAGTTAGTTTTGTTGTTTCTTAATATTTTATATATCATTATATAGCTCTCGAAATTCTCTATCGAATGGTATATTATAGCTGGAGTTTTAATTGACTATGATAGGAAAGGTTCTTTATGAAAGTGGTAGTGGGTCGATTTTTCCATAGGAAGCCATAGGAGAAAATGCGTATTTTTGCAATAACACAGGAACGCCTCGGTCGATCCTTCTCACCTTCGAACTCGACCGAGATATTGTAAAGACTGAAGTGTGTAGAAAATTTCATCACGATCCGACTCTCCTTTCGAAAGCTATCGGATAAACGGACGGACGGACGGACACACTGACCGATTTTAGTAGTGTACTCACTTTTTGAGTACACAAAAAACAAGAGTATGTATAGGTACTACATCCGAACATATTCTTTCTAACAAAGAAAAAATCAAACATACAGAATGAAGAATCACAGAGAACTTCCAGAAGTAAGATAAACAATCGGTTTTTGTTGACTCTTGTTTAATTGAATCTTTCTTAAATAACAAAATAAGAGACTGAAGATTTTACAACAAACATATTTTCATAGTCTCAACGTATCCTGAAAGTTTCAAGATATTCTGTTGTTCTTAAACTAAGATCGATTTTCGAAGGCTGCTTAATTTATTAAGTTTTCTATTTCAAAAAAAAAACGAAAAAAATATTCAATCAACCTCTAAAAATATATTTATGTATCTATGTTAGGTACAAAAACAACATTGTGAATATATTTTACAAAAATATTCATGTGATAAATCAAAAATTAAACATGAAGGTAAATAAAACTAATTTTAGTTTTGAACAATTTTTATTATTTCATTTTTTTAAATAGATTCTTCATCGAATGCAAATTCAGATCTTCTTAATGATTTATTTCTAATTAATATTCTTGCTAAATTAGTTAATAAAGCTCAATCCGATGATACTGATGATGATGGTGATATTCATAATACTAAATGTGCTGCATGTGGAATGAATCCTATTCGCCAAGTTGATCGATATCATTGTTTAGAATGTACATCAACAACATATGATTTGTGTGGACATTGTTTTGGAAAACGTCGTGAAACAGGAAAACATTCAAATAGCCATGTCATGGCACATTTTAAATTACCAAATGAAATGTTAGGAATGTATTTCTATGATATTGACAATGAAGTTACTTTAAATAAATTACGAAAATTAGATACACTACGACATGAACAACATGATGGCACAGCATGTGATGGAGTTTGTAATCAAAAAGTAATAGTTGGTTTACGTTTTAAATGTGATACATGTCCTAATTATGATTTATGTGAAACATGTGCCATCGAAAACCGTATTTGTACAAAAAATCATGAAAGAAATCATCCATTAATTTTAACTTCGAATAGAGTTATACCAAAAATTGATTCGAATGATTTTGAAATGGGAGAAGTTTTAGGTCAAGGAGGATTTGGTAAGTTTAATTATTGTGTTACTTAGAAAAGAGTAATACTTTTGAGTCTGACATTTAAAAATCTTTGTCGAATAAGATATTCGATTCAGAAAAAATAAAAATGTATATTATCTTACAGAACTTTTTTTGAAGAGTTGACTGATATAGAGTAAATCCTGTTTTTATAAGACTTTGAACGAACTAAAGTCAAATTATTGATAGACAACTAGGCATTCACACTTTGATTTTAGTCGCCAGAATCTATGAAAATGCTTTTACTTAGTTACAATTTTGTAAGTTTTTCATGAGCTATAGTTTCATATAAGTAGCATCTCTGATTGTCTTATTATTGTGAATATGAGTAGAGGTTTGTCTAAATGTGTAGTTGTCTATTAGTAGATTCGACGTATGAAGAAAAAAGCTCTCTAAGAGATTATACATGATTTTTCATTTCTTTTTGAACAGAAAATTATGTCAGACAAGAACTTTTAAGCAGCAAGGTTAGAACTCTTGATTAATCCTAAGTATCTCTTTCGAAATACATGAACTGTAATCATTTTCTAAATAACGCCTGCTAGGAATAAGATAGAGTGGTGCTGGTTCCATCATTTTAAAGAGAAGCAGATATATAAATATTAGTACATGCTTTAAAATGATTGACTAATACTCGACTAATGATTCAACATAGATTCCTCATAGCCGAATGTTATATTAATATGTGAGTGCTTTCATTTTGATACGTTATTTTCCATTACAATATAAAGACCAAATACATGGATATAGAATATTTTTTTTAAATTTAAATGCATCATGCTTTATTTCTTCTACGAAGTGGCCTAAATACGAGTGCAGATACGCCCTTTGAAAGTCAAATAACTGATATTGTTGTATTTGAAGAAAATGTAATTTATTTCCTGTGGTCATGAAATCATTTAACTGAATCAACTAATGCTCTTCAATCCTCAGATTATACAGCTAAGTTTGAAATTACGAGGTGATTACAGTAAATCTACTAATATCCCTCAACTTCTAAATACACAGTTCACTTTATGTAAGGAGGTGGTTACAGTAAATCCACTCATATTCCTCAGCTTTCAAATACACAGCTGTGTCGATATGCATTCATTGAGATATTATTACGTGAAGGGTAATACCCTAAATCCACTCATATTTCTCACGTTATATGATGACTATATTTTTGGTACGGTAATAAAGTCATTACTTCTCGGTGCAATACGTGATGATAGTGTCAATATACTTTCGCTGTGCATTCTTGAGGGTATCGTGACGGCTGGCTGTCGATACCCGTCGTATTGGTATTATGACATCTATGGCATTTTTCATCTCATCTTTACTTCTTAGTCTATTAATTAGTAAAAAAATAGTTCTCTTTCGATCTACACACAGTCAACTTTTCTGACTTAAAAGTTACGAGAGTTTCCTAAATCCCTGATTTCAGTCAACTGACTTTGGATCAAGCGAAAAATTGTCTCGAATTGGACGATCCATCATAGTGAGTCGAATAGTAAATGCTTGAATTTGAATTTAAAACTAATATAGTTTCCTTTTATTTTAATGAACTCGTCACATTTCACAAAATATATCACTCTGTGATATCAAATGATTTCACGTTTCGGAAAAATTGAGATAACACTGTAAGATGACTTTGAATACAGAAAAAAATACCACCATTGGACTTAGCATAATGAATTATTACATTCAAGATTGTTTTCCATTTGACCCGAGGTCAATTAGCTCAAATCAGGGATCTGAAGAACAATCCTATAACTCTTGAATGAAACAAGTTAACATGATCAGTAATTCGTAAATCAAAAGAGAACGGCCTTCTCCTATCGATTCATAGACTGATAAATAGAAGTGAGATAAAAAATCGTCCTAAAGAAAAGTGTCCAAAATGTTCGTTAATAATGTACTTGTCTGATTCATTGTTAACTAATCATACTCTACCAAAGGATATTATTCTATTGAAAATTTATAATTTAAAATAGACTGTTACGAAGAAATGTATATTAGTATGTATAAAATACAGCAACATTTAAAACATCAACTATAGCAGCTAAATCCTGTGAGATTGTCAAGTCCTCAAATGATTGTAATAATCGCTTTTCACAAAATAGCCACACTTTTTTTTATTTTGTTTTAAAACTAATAGTTAACTAATGAATTAGAAATATAAATAATTATTATTACTTATAGGTTATGTATGTAAAGCTATATGGCGACCAAAAAATCGTCAAGTTGCTTGTAAAGTTATTGAAATACCTAGTAAAGCATCAAAATCAGATCCACTTCATCGAAGTTTTTTTCTTGAATTAGCTGCATATCGTGAATTATCCGGTCCATATATTCTTCGAACATATGCTTATGCAACTCGTAGTATACCATCAAATCATCATCACGGATCAAAAACTCAACATATGATATTAATGGAATTAATGGGACGTGGAAGTTTACAAAATCTTCTTAATCATCTGCTGAATAAATTATCTTTAGGACGTAAATTACCTATGAGTCGACAAATAGCATCAGGTATGAAACGTATTCATCAACATGGTATGATACATCGTGATATTCGACCAGATAATATTCTTATTACAGATCATTATGAGGCGAAAATTGGTGATATGGGTATTGCACGTGTTCTTGATCCAACAAGTCAACTAACTCAATTAGGTTGTGTACAATTTATGCCACCAGAGTTTTTTCGTTTTGCTGCTGATGGACATGTTCAATATACTGAAAAACTAGATATCTATACATATGGTCTTACATTAAATCAATTATTTACAGAACAAATGCAGGAATTTCGTTTATCAGCTGAACCACATATTATATTAACTAAAAAAAGTCCTATTTTCTATGATGAAATTATTTCAAGATGCTTAGATGAAGACTCTAGTCGACGACCAAGTGCGATTGAAATTGAAAAAACTTTAGAATTCTACGAAGCAACTTTTTCAAAAATAAAGAATTCAGATTCTTATACAAAAATGAGTACACAAGAAAAAAATCAAGCTTTTATTCAATTTTATGAAGCTAATAAAATGAAAATTGTACATTTTGTTAAAGATAAATTTCCTCAACAATTTTTTCATGATGTTCAACGTAAATTTTCAATTAAACAGAAATCATCAGAATTTTATGTAGCAGTTGACAGTGTTTGTCGTACCAGTTAATTTCTTTTTCTTTTTTTTAATAAATATAATTATTCATTAACATACTTTGAGTTTAGATGAACTCAATTTATAAGAGAAAATGTTTTTTGTTATTGCAATTATTTATCAATTTATGCCATTTTTTAAAGAACTATTAAAGCTAACATCTGATTAATAGTACTACTTTATCAGTACTTTGTTCAGATTTTCTTCCAGAAATAACAGAACAATACCAAGTCTAATCAGAATAACGAGTATGGCATCGTTGAATATATTGAGTTCACTAATCATGAAAGTTTTACCTATATCAGAATAAATATGCTCTGCCGAAATATAACAGCTAGAGTGTGGGTGTGGGTGTGGGTGTGGATGTGAGTGTGGGTTTGGTTGTGGGTGTGTAGTGCCAGACAACAAGAACACCCACACCCTCCAGCCACACACACATTCACACCCACACGCACACTCACATGCACACCTATGCCCCAGCCGCACTCACACACCCACACCCACACCCACACCCATACTGTGAAATAACTTTGATATTTGTTTTTGAAATCTATGATTTTCATAATGTGTGTTTATTGAGATTATGTGTCGTCTAAATGCCTGTAAATAAGATTAGTTGTTGTGAATCGTTTCATATAAATGATACAACGTTTAACACTGAAAGGTTTTGAAAAAGTGCTGAGATGGTGCCGAAAAGGTACCAAATTGCTGAAACGGTGCTGAGGTGCTAAAATAGCGCTAAGGTGCTGAGGTGCTGGAAAAGTACTGCGATGCTGAAAAGTGCCAAGGTGCTGGTAGTTCCAAACTGCACTTTAACCTTTGGATCGTTTAGTACGTGCTCAGAAGTCCGGAAAGTAATAACAAACTTTCCGTTCAAAAAAGTTTTTCTTTTGTTGTTGCATTCAAGACTAAAATAATTTTGATATTCGTTTTTGGAACTTAATGTTTTCATATTCTTGTACATTTGAAGCAAAGCTTCATCTCTATTATTGAAAATAAGATTAGCTTTGCAAATTATGTTCATATGAGTAAAGTAGCTTTTGGTACCAAAAAGTGCTGAAAAGGTGCTGAGGTGCTGAGAAGATATTGAGGTGCTGGGGGTTCCAAGTCTTCACTTTCCCCCTTAGTGTGGGTGGGTGCCGGCGTGGATGTGGGTGTGGGTACGTGTTCTACCCACACCTACATTCACGCTCACACCCATACCAACATCAACACCCACACCCACAGCCACACCCACACTCACACACCCACACTCACACTCACACACCCACACACCCATACACCCATACACCCACACCCCATACCCCACACCCTCATTGTGAGGGTGTGCGGTGGGGTGTGGCTATTTTTGTCAAAAGAAATGGCGTCCACTGCCGCACACTCAAAATCCACAACTCTATTATCTCCAAGGTTTATAGATTTATTCTGGATCATGCATTCTGGGAATCGCCACCTAATCAAAGCGTTTTCAACAAAAGAAATAAGCAGCGATACGCTTGAATACAAATAGATGTTCTGAAGAAATTATTCTGTTGCTAATGTGTGCACTTGTTTTGGAATATTGGCTAACTGGTAATCACCAACAGATGCCAAATTTCCATTTTCAAACTGAGTCAGTTCAAATGTGACGATCCCATTATGAAATTGTCCACTACCTCCATAACTTCGTGTTCCAACATTAAATAAGTATGTGCCAGATGGAAGATAAACAAATGCTACTCGTGTGATCGGTATTTCTGATCTTACACTTGCTGAATAGTAATATCCCCCTTGTCGATCAACTTGCATAACTGAGCCCATACCATAATTTGCTCTCTGAATCGTATTCGGCACAAGTTTGTTACCAATAATTAGAAGATCATTCACCATTATTTGAACATATTGCTCGAGTTCTACAGCATTTCTCCCGAAGTCTCCTTGAAGTGTGATTTTAAACAGTGTGTTTCGTGTCACATAAAATGCATGGCTCAGATTAGGAACATAAAGGAAATTGTCGCTTGGTAGACTGTAGAAGTCAGATAGTTGGTTTTTTACAAAAACCTCGTGCAATTGTATCCTGGATGATGGCGGTAGAGTCTTAGCTATTGAAGATGATGCTGATACTGCCAGTGTGCCTTCGATCATCGAAAAAAACAAATTCTTAAAGAATTTCTCTATCGAAATTTCTTTTTAAAGAAACATACTATTTCAGAGGAGAAAGCATACAGATGCTTGTTTGCATAAGACTTGTGGGTTCTGTTCTCTTCCCATCTATTTTGTTAAATTTCTCTCAAAGGATCCTATTTCTGCAGAGTACAGACTATTTCAAGATACGGTTAGGATTTATATGTTAAATTATATATCTGAAGATTTCCGTATATTTTAAGTAGAAATCCGATATATTTCCACTTTTGGAAGAGCTTAAAAAACCGAAATGAATACATCAGGATTTCCTTTTTCTTTTTTTTCCTGATTAAATAGTGCACTGTGAAAACGTTTCAAATGGTACAGTCTCAAATTTGCTTATCGAAAATCTGACCAACGTTTCTTGGATTTAGTCGCTTAATATTGCCTTTTATGAACACTTTCAATTAGTGACCGTCAAGAACCTAGCGCATTTACTTACTCTTTTGGTATATATCTCGTGCATAAAACAGTTTAAAGTTACTAAGGAAGCATAAATATAAACATCAAGGGTTTATCGTTGACCACTCAATGAAAATCGTACAATTATAAACCCTTTAACAAAGGGATCATCTCACGAGGTATGCTTAGATTTCAAAAAAAGAAAACTTCACAAATTTTCTTAAAATCCACATTGCCACAAAGACAAAATTCTGAAATTTGGAAATACTGGAGAGCATTTTCTAAATTTCTTTTTTGTGAAAATCTGAACATTGCTGAACTCTGTTGATATGACTCTAGAAGGACTTATAAACACATCGTGTCCTAAATGTGTATGTTTGTAAATGTTCACAAACTCTTTCGAGGCTGTTCAATAGGAAGTGGCTATGAAAGAGTATGCTTGAAGAATAAACTCTAACAGGGTTCATATGATTTGAGATCAACGGATACGAGGGTTTGTTGTTACAGACATTTTTTTACGGTTTGATTGGCGAATCAGAAGGATTTCCATGAAATCAAAATACTTAAATGTTTTTAATGATCATTCTTTGGTATATGATCTAAAGTGGATAAACATTAAAAAATTGGACTCAAGTGGCCAGAAAATCTATAGAAGAATGTCATGTATGAGCACATTTCAAAAATTCAAGCATACTCACGAAGACAGTAGTTATGGAAATGTGATTTGTCTCCCTCTCTCTTCCATAGGTTTATAACCTAGAGTCTATTTTTCAAACCAAAACATTCCTCCACACTTACAGATGAGTATTGACGAATAAACAAGAACAGCCCAATATGAAGCTAATCCAATTACCATGGTTGTTTGAAAATGGTGAATATCGACCAGTTATGAATTGAAGTCGCACGGTTTGATTTACGTAGCAGTTGTCGTTAGCCTTGCTAAATAAGTATATATACAGGCTGGACAAAAAATTATGGGATACTCAAGAATGCCTTCCCAAAATTTTCTATTTTATTCGAATAAAAGATCCTGTCGAATAAGGTGACAAATTCCAAAACCAAATATACCATCTTATAGAGAAATTCAAGATGCATCGAATGGTATATAATAAGTATATTTTCTAAAAAGTTTAGATGTAGTTATGATCAATTTACTAATGGAGAGAATGTTAGGAAACCATTCTTGCGTGTCCCAGAATTTTTTGCTCCGCTTGTATATATATATGTATGTATGTACAGTGGCTCCAAAAATGATCCGTACAGCTGATGTGACTGCATTATTCGATTCTACTGTTTATGAGATAATTGAGCTAAAGAGGGTGTGGATGTGGCACAGTGGATAATCACGCGGATTTGAACTCAAGTTCAATTTTCCAAATTTTATATATTGGAATGAAAACTTCTATGGTTAGTCTATCTAATCCTTAAACTAGATTTCCAGGAATGAACTGGAAACGTTGGAAAGTCCATCGTCAAAAAATTGTTCATAAATCTGTGAAGCATACGAAGATCATCTCTTTTATTAACTAATTGTTTGCGTCATCAGATGGCAATCTATGACGCTAAATCATCTGTTCTTTGTTATTGGTTTAACTCATCCTCTTTGATATTTTCTCTGGATATTACAGTGATTATTCTCTCTCAGTGATCTTCCTCTCCAGTTGGTGACTTTCCTCTTCATGTCAGTTGTTGTTTTCTTCTCACCCCAGTGAGATTGTTATCTCTACCCTGATTGTCATTTCCCATCGTTTTCAACATTATCATATTTCCAGTGTTTTCATCTATATCAATAAAATCACTTATTCTCATCTCCGTTATCTATCCCTTTATTAATATAACAAAGCCAGTTAAGCATATTTACTTTATTTCACTTGAGAGTTCTCGTTCCCGGAGCAAACCAGAACTAAACATAATCGTCATCTAGGTCAAACCTTAGCATCGGGCAAGAGTAGTAGACATCTCATAAAAAGAAAGTTTCACACTAATCAAAATATTTTAATATGAAAAACTATCTGAAACAGATGATTGACCTCAGAGGTGGATCTTTATCGTTACTTTAACGAGCAAAGTAAAGTGAAGTATCTCTTACTTTACAGAAAAAAGTTAGATGAAGTAATATAAGATAAAGTGAAGCAAGTAGTTGATGATTATTGGTTTATTAGTTCATTGTCACACATTAAGCACATTCTAATACGTCAAAAGTTGTGTCGGAATACAAACCGAGAGCTCCAAATAATCTGAACCTATTTTTAATATCTTGAGAATCGACATTGAGTCCTCACTATTTTTCAAAATTTTATTTTCTACTTTATCACAACCCAATTTTTCACACCTTGGTTTCCCTTCAGGTGTCGAAAAAGAAATTTTTATTGCTGTCCTATTACAAAACTTTATAATTCAATAGTACCAAGTGTACTGATTACAAATATCTCATTTCTTTTCAAAAGTAC